TGAGAGCGGCCGAGTGAAAAGCTTCGAATTCACATCAGAAGCTTGCCTCGTACTCCTATACGGCTGAGTTTGTAAAGAAGGCGGTGGTAAGGCACATTGTCGAATGCCGTTTTGAAGTCGATATAGATCGCATGCACCATATGTCCTCTATCAACAGCCCGAGTTCAGTGTTTCAGACAGTAAAGTAAGTTTGTCACACAGGATCTGCCTTTTTGGAATTCATGCTGAGAATCGGAAAGTAGATGGTTTTGTTCGAGTAACTGCATTAACTGTCGCTTTATTATTTTTTCTATAATCTTGCAGCAAATGGAGATGAGGCTGACAGGTCTGCAATTATTCACAGAGACCCGACTTCCGCCCTTATACAGCGGCGTAATTCACGCTGATTTACAGTCGGGTGGCAGATATCCGGTCTAGAAGGATGTAGGAAATGCATGGAGAGTGGTTTAGTGAACTCACCGGTGAGTTCTATTAAAATCTTCGCTGGAATCTCAACGGGACTGGCGAATGTTGATTCCTTTAGCTTCATCAACTCCGTCAGCATCATACCCTTAGTGGGCTGGCCGGTCTCCTTAATTGTGGTGTCTTCAAAGTCCCTCGTCGAAGGATTGAATCCTGTTTCACTACTAAGAACAGACCGAAAAAAATTCTGAAAGGTGATCAGCTTTTACCCTAACTTCAGTGAGGTTTTCGTCTTCAGCAGTCCTAAGCAGTGGTGTTGGGTCCTTGTTTCGCGTCCATTGCCTTATGTAATCGTAGAATAATTTAGGGTTCTCCGCGTTACAGTTAAGCAGATCCCGTTCGAATTCCCTTCCAGTTCTGAGGATTAGGTCCTTGAATCGATTTCTTTGAGCTTTGTACGCACATATAGATGTGGAGCACCTGTCAGAAAGCGATTTTTCCACAGCCTTCGCTTTTTATTCACTGCATTATTTAAAGCTTGCGTAAGCCATCGAGCTCTGTTAGATAACCTCTTTTGTGAAAGCGGACAGTGGTTTGCGATCAATCTCTGCAACGTTGCTCAGAACCGTTGCCAGTCTTCGAGTATGCTTCCAACAAATACAGATTTTCACTCAATGCGTGAGATTTCGGCCATAATTTGGTCGAAATGTTCGCGCCAAAAGTTTCTTCTAACTGTCATGAGTTTCTTGGATAGGAAAAAAGCGAGTAACCCCATAGAAAACCGACGTGGTCATTTTTACCTAACAGGGGTAGGCATGACACCTCATTAATGCTGTCCTGTGATTTCGTAAGGACAAGATCAAGGCAGTTGGCCTGTTGGCCTTCGCGTACTCCAGCTGGAAACGTGGCATGTTTAGTGAAAGATAACTTCAGTGCCGTGTTCAGAAAACTCCCATCGAATGTCCGTTCTGAGCTATTTGCAGGGGTCGAGCTCCAGTCAATGTGCGACGCGTTAAAGTTCCCTATGGTCAGGATATCCGGCCGCGTAGCGAACTTTTCGAGCTCCTCCAGCAGGCGATCGTCGGCCATGTTGTCCCGTCTCGACGGTTAATAAATTGTCAGGACATCGAGAGCAGGCGGGCTCGGCACTTTTGTAGACAGCCAGATTGCCTCGGAAGTACACGAAAATTAATCCGTTTTGTCTGATACATTTATCCCATTTTTCACATACGTAAGTACTCCTCCTCTCTGACGCCCTCCCCTTTCCCTTCTAAACATCTGGTAGCCAGGCAAGATCAACTTACTTTCGTCCACGTGTTGGGTCAACCGGGTTTCTGTTAAGGAGATTACCTCAGGCAATGGATCGCAGAGGTGGATCTTCAGCTCGTCAAACTTTGATGGCAAACTCTGCCCGTTGGTCTACGAGAATTTCAATTTTCGACTGACGGAATATGTGGTTACATTTTGGTTTGTGCCTTAACTTAATATGTTAGACCGGACCTGTCCAAGGGAAGAATGACGGACGCCGTCGTACTTGGTTGTCGTATGTAACTAAATTGTCCTCCCCCTCGCCGAGCCACTTTCTTAGTTCTAGAACTAGTTGACGACGTTTCAGCCGTTCCGCTGGCGAGTAGTCCGGTTGAAAAAACACCTGGGTTAGAGCCTTTGATCCTGAATCGCCTGGAGAGAATGAGACTGACTTGGTGACTGCTGGCCAGTACAAATTTAGGGGGTCGGAGACGAGTCGACACGGATAGATTTTGAACTTGATTCAGAGAGCCCTTGAATAATAAGACATTTTTCTCTGTCGACTTCTTTTTGATTTTCTACGGAAGTGTGGTTCCCTAGATGACGTAACGTTCTGGGACTATGGAGCAGATGCGCTTACGCCGTCTGTTTGTTTGATTCTTATTTTGACAATCTTGGAAGAAACGATTGCCAGAGAAGACTGTGAATAGAGCTCTGTGGCTATGATGAATGAATCGGTTCCACTGTTTGTACTAGGTCTATTAAGCTCGGAATGTTTCGGAGAGTCAGCGAAGGTATTTGGACACACGACATTTGCCATGAAGGACGGGACGTCCGTCGATATCTCTGTTTCGGCTTCTTCAGAGGAATCTACCCGAAGTAGCCGTCTATTTTTCCTGGCCTTTTTACGGTTTGATTTCTTTTTCTCTGCATTTTTGGGTTTCCTTTTCGGTCGTTATTATCTCGCTTCGCAGCTATTCGTTCTGGGGCTGCCTTAATAGACGCCGGTGGGCCTATTATACTGAGAGCTTTTGCCCTACTTCTGGACACTCGTCCAGTAGGCAAATTGGTAGCGTTAGCTTCGTTAAGACTGCATCGCGACTGGGCTTTTATCTTTTCGATTTATTCCTCAAGATAGTTGACCTTGACGGTCAGAATCTGGCATCCACTACAGCTTTGGCCTGCATTGTCTGTGTCTATCCAGTCAGGAAGACTGTGGGATATCGCTCACCTTCGAGCTGCGGTGGCCAGGGGGTTAGCGCACTTGACTGAGGAAAGGGTGATTGCTGGATCGACTCCACACGCCGACCACTTATTTTGGACGTCAGTGCGTACTTCACTCATGCCGTGAAGTTATGGAACGGGAGCAAGCCGAGGGAATAGAAGAAAGAACTTCGTCTAGGGCCAAATAGGGAAGACTGTGCGTATGGTTGGGTTTGTCGGAGAATTTCAAGAATGCTAGGTCTGCAGGATGTTTTGACTAAGTTTTATTTGGTAATATGCCAAGTGTAAAAATCAAAGCAGCTCGATAAGTAGTGTAGAAATTATAGACTCAGCCTTTAGTAGGTCCTATTCCAAAGGTACGGTGGACAGTCCAAGACAATATGCAGGTTTGCTAGGCTGTGTTGGCTAGGTCCACATTGCCAGCAGAATCGCCAGGTTTGCAGAAGGTTGTCCTAGTCGCACTGTAGTGACTGAGCGAGGGACGGATGTCGGATAACGGGTTATGAAAGAAGGGGATGATGGTATCTTGAACTCAGATGGTCCAGCCGATTAGAAAATCCGGTCTAAAGGGCCTTGCATTTGTAGTGGACAGCCACAGTGGCAACGTCGCGCCTCTCGCTAGCACCTGCACCTACGCCCTAGCGACAGCCGGCTATTACACACACGTCTGCCCAGCGTCGATTTGTCTCGTTGCAATTCACTGTCTGCACCACCCTCGCCGATACACGGCTCGTCGCCCTTGTGGACGCCGCTTCCGCGGCGCCGGACGCACCCTCGTCCGGTTGCCAACTTCCCTTCACTATTCTGTACAGAATGAATAAAGTGTCCTAATCAAATGGCGTCCTGCTTCTAATAACTTGGGATATGGCCTGAAGTTGTGGCGTACTGGGCGTACACCATCACAGCTTAGTCGTTACACATTTCAGAGTGGACAGGATCGGGATGAAGAGGCATACGGTACATGGGATAAGCGGCACAGGTGATAAAAAGGTATAAGTTTATTCGAGCGTACAAAAATGGAAAATTAATAAACGAGGCTACGGAAAAACGAAAAATGCAATGGGACGATTTATCGAGAGGAGTCGGAGGTTATTCGTTGTCATGTGGCTCCGGAAGCGCAGCCGCTGCAAGGTAAACGGAAGAAGCATACCTCTAGCGTGACAGTTAATTAAGACACCAAATGTCGGGTCCCTGATCACATCTCCGGCTGTTACAGTACGATGAGAGCAACAATGACAGCTAGGTGGAGGATACTAGACAAAAATGCGTTTTGTAATCCAATTTCTGATGCAGGACCAACTGTTTCCAGTGAGGGACTCGATTGAAAATGCCCTTCTTGCTCCTCAATTCATCGGCATAAATAAAGGATTGAGAATGTTTAACTGCAGATGAGATATCATTTACGTAAAGCAGGAACAAAAGAGTCCTGTCTCCAACAAAACATAAGACATGTTTGCTTCCCCACTGCCGCCCTCAATCTAACTATCGGACGGAAAGTTGTCCCAACAGATTCGAAAGAAACGTCCTGAAAGCCCATGGTTGAGATAATTCAGAAATTCCTTTTTTTTAGAAGACTACTCCGAGCTCACAGTCTATTAGTTGCATTTCTCCTTCCAAATCATTGATGTGCCGCAAGATACTCATAGCATTCCAGGAACTCGTTCTTGCGGGCATGCAGGCGGCGCAGACAGCTATAGTGACTTTTAAGTCCGTTTTGTTTTACTCAGTTACAATAAGCTCTGACACAACTTTGAATAAGACAAAGAACACGCACGTGCACTTTTACCTGCTGACGACTTTGTTCTTATTTGCTGGTTTGTAAGTGTTGGGATACGGCTATTTTCGTTTCCTGCATAGCCTACTCGCTGTGCCCAACTAGTGGGTTTGTCTCTTACACTGGTGACCCTGTATCGTTCATAGCTCCTTCTGTTTAATTTCTGTGCATAACTATTTCCATTCGGATTAATCATCTCTAATTTTTATCGATCAGATTATTCATCTAGCCCTTATTTGCTATTCACACTGTCTCACCCTTTCATCCAATACGAGCGCTACCCTTCAGTCGCACTGTCAACGCGCCAGTCCTCTACCCCAATTATCTGACCTCTGACCGACCTTGGCTAACTATGTCCAACGATTCTACCAGCCAGCCGATAGCCGGCATTCACACCTTTGACCTGCCATCCGTGTGGCTCGATGACATCGCGTTGTGGCTGCGCACTGTAGAGTTCCGTTTCGCCCACCGTCAGATCACACGAGAGGATACGAAATTTCATTATGTTGTGGCAGCACTCCCAATGGACATCGCCACCGACCTCCGCGACATCATAGATTGCCCGCCCACAGAAGCCCCTTATACTGCCCTAAAGGAGGCTCTCATTTCCCGCATTTCCCTCTCAACGCAAAAACATCTCCAATGTCTAATTTCTGAGGAGGACTTCGGTGACAGGAAGCCTACGCAGCTTCTTAGGCGTTTGGAGCAGTTGGCAGACGGACAAAAGCTGGATGCTACCATGTTTAAGCAACCTTTCCTCCAACGGTTGCCTCCTTCTGTGCAAGCCATCCCTGCGCCTAACATTCCTTCATCGACTGTTCAGATGCTCGCGGAGACTGCTGACCATATGCTCGAGTACTACCAGCCTCATGTTACGGTTGGCGCTGCTAATCGAAGCAAAACTGCCCCCACAGTCGAGGATATCGTCAAACGCCTGGATGCCCTCACTCTCGAAGTTTCCCAGCTCCGGGCCACTCGTGTCTATAATCCTCGTAGTCCTGCAATTTCTCGCCGCCAGAGATCTCCCACTCCAAACCAACCTACAGTTGATGGTTTCTGTTGGTATCATCACAATTATGGTTCTAACGCCCATCGCTGCCACTCTCCGTGTAAGTATAAAACACCCGCGTCGGAAAACCCCCCTGCCGACCAGTAAGGGCGACGAACGTGGTCGGCACATCCTCTCCCAGTCGCTTACTTCACATCTATGACAGGACTTCCTGTCGTAATTTTCTCGTGGATACTGGTGCGGAGATCAGTCTAATCCCACCCACCTTGACCGACCGTAAGTTACCAAACTCTTCATTTTTCCTCCAAGCAGCTAACAATATTTCTATTAAAACTTTTGGTCAACGATCCCTAACACTAGATTAAGGTCTAAGACGTTCATTTCGTTGGCTTTTTACTATCGCTGATGTCCATACTGTCATTTTCGGCGCTGATTTCATATCCTTTTTCGGTCCCCTCGTTGACATTAAGTCCCATAAATTATTTGATACTAAGACTTATTTACGTTGTAATTGTTCCACTCGTACCCTTTCATCACCTAATCCACGCATTTCAACAATCCCTTCGTCTACTCCCTATCATCGTTTACTTTCAGAATTTCCATCTACCACACGACCTTCACAATTTAACCAACCTATCAAGCATTCTGTGGTACATTATATTTTAACTACTGAGCCACCCGTGTTTAGCCGTCCCCGTCGTTTAACCGCCGATAAGTCAGCCATAACCAAGGCTGAATTCAGTCACATGATGGAGTCAGGCATAGTAAGGCCTTCCACTAGTCCATGGGCTGCACCTCTACATATGGTGTGCAAAAAGTCGCTCGTTGACTGGCGCCCATGCGGGGATTACCGACGGTTAAACACCTCCATTGTGCCTGACAGGTATCCACTTCCCCATCTCCACGACTTCTCATCTAGCCTAGCTGGAGCAACAATATTTTCCAACATTGACTTAGTCAAAGCTTTCCATCAGATGCCCGTTGTTCCAGAAGACGTTCCAAAAACGGTGATTACAACACCGTTCGGTCTGTCCGAGTTTGTCAGGATGCCTTTTGGACTACGCAACTCCGCCCAAACTTTTCAACGTTTCATCAACGAAGCCCTCCGCGATCTACCGTTCGTTTTTGTCTACGTCGACAATGTTCTGGTATCAAGTTCCAGTTAACACGAGCACCTACAACATTTGCGTCTCATTTTTGAACGATTGAGCCAATTTGACTTTTTCATTAATGTTTCTAAATGCGTTTTTGGTGCACAGTCGCTGTTTTTCCTAGGACATCGCGTAGATGCTTCTGGTTGTCATCCCATAGATGCCAACGTTTCAGCTATTCACGATTTCCCTACTCCCACTTCTTTTCAACAACTGAGCCGTTTTATAGGCCTTGCCAATTTCTATCTACGTTTCATCCCTCATTGTGCTCAATTAATGCTACCACTTACTAACCTTTTACGCTGGAACAACCGTGAGTTTTCTTTTCCGGACACAGCTGTAGAGGCTTTCAATCGTTCGAGGAAGGCTCTTGTGGATACAACTGTCCTTGTTCACCCTATACCTGATGCCCCACTTTCTTTGTGGCGGTCGCCTCTAATTTCGCTATAGGTGCTGCCCTTCAGCAACAGACGCCCACTGGCACCCAGCCCTTGGCTTTCTACACTGCTAAATTGACACCTCCACATACTAGCTATAGCACTTTTGGTAGAGAACTTCTTGCGATTTATTTAGCCATTAAGAACTTTCGTAATTATATTGAGGGCCGAGATTTTGGTATTTATATTGACCACAAGCCTCTTACTTATGCCCTCTCTAGTTCTTCTGACAAGTATTCACCCCGCGAGGCCCGCCATCTCAATTTTATTTCTCAGTATACCACCGACATTCGATTTCTTAAGGGCCTTTATACTCAAGTTGCTGACTGTCTTTCTCGGCCTGGCATTAATGCCATCACCCGCCCTTCCATGGATTTGGAGCGCATGGCAGAACTGCAAAATCGGCCGACTTTCAGTGAGAGCATTCAACACACTAGTCTTCAACTCGAAGCCATTCCTCTTTCCACCACCGCCGGTACAATCTTGTGTGACGTATCGTGCGGTGCCTCCCGACCCATAGTGCCAAACGACATGAGACGAGATGTTTTTGCCGCGTTGCACAATCTAGCTCACCCTGGCATCCGCACTACCCAGCGCCTCGTCAGCGAGCGGTTCGTTTGGCCAAGCATGAACACTGATATTCGTCAGTAGACCCGTTCATGTTTGGCCTGTCAGAAGGCCAAAGTCGGACGGCACAACAAAGCCCCCAGTGGCACTTTTCTCGCATCCGACGCACGCTTTTCACATATCCATATCGATCTAGTTGGTCCCTTTCCAAAATCTCGTGGTTGCAACTACTTATTTACTGCGATTGACCGATTTACTCGTTGGCCCATTGCAACTCCCATACCTAACATAACTGCAGATTCCGCTGCTCATGTTTTTTTGAAACACTGGATATCTCATTATGGCGTCCCCTCAACTATTACCACCGATCGAGGTCAGCAATTCGAGTTTAGACTTTTTAACAGCCTTACCAACCTCCTCGGATGTTCTCGCATACGCACGACAACAAACCACCCCTCATCCAACGGCCTAGTCGAACGTTTCAACCGGCAACTCAAAGCCTCGCTCCGAGCTCATGACAACCCTTCCCATTGGAGCGAGCATCTGCCTTTGGTCATGCTCGGTATACGTACCGCACCCAAGCCCGATTTGGAGTGTTACGCTGCCGAACTTGTCTACGGTACCACCCTACGGATTCCCGTGATTTTTTCGGGCACTCTCAAAGCTCAGACGTCTTGGATCCCAGCGATTATGTGCAAAGATTGAGCCAAGCCATGACTCATCTTCGAGCCACTCCCCCACGTCCTTCAACAAGTAAGTCGTACGTCGATCCGAACTTACTAACATGTTCTTTTGTATTTGTCCGCGTAGATAGCGTTCGCCGGCCACTACAACAACCCTATGACGGCCCATTTCGACTACTATCGCGCAAGGACAAGCATTTTACAATTGACCGTGGAGGCCGCACCGACGTGGTCTCGGTAGGTCGCTTGAAGGCGGCTTATACCGAGCCTCTTCCAACTTCTCCAACCGAACAACCTCCACTTGGCACATTGCCATTTGCTATTTCCCAGACTCCATTTACGCCCAATAACCCCGCGTCTTCCCTTATCCCACAGACTCCTCCCCTTACCTGCAGCGATCGTCATGTCCGTTTTCCCGACCGTTACCAACTGGCACAATATGCATAACACTCTGACATTTTCCTTCTATTAACAATCTTTTTTTGAACTCCGTTCTCCTAAGAGGGGGAGTATTGTAGTGACATTTAAGTCCGTTTTGTTTTAATCAGTTACAATACGCTTTGACACAACTTTGAATAAGACAAAGTACACGCACGTGCACTTTTACCTGCTGACGACTTTGTTCTTATTTGCTGGTTCGTAACTGTTGGGATACTGCTATTTTCGTTTCCTGGATAGCCTACTCGTTGTGTCCAACTAGGTGGTTTGTCTCTTACACAGCCTTACCTGTTTCTCGTAACATGATTCCTGTCGGATCACCTGTGTTCTGTCGTTACCATTGGACTAGTTTGGACTGGGGCAACGGAGGCAGATTAACGAGTCCAAATACTGTTCAGCGTGCACGTTGCTGTCGGACTCGTCGCGACAAAGAAGTTTGACAGCGACTTACGGCAAGTCAACTGAAGTCGAATTAACGCTATCACATATCCCAGATACTCTGCTGGGTACTATAGACATTCCAACACATCAGATGGTTTCTGAACTAATTGCTGCATCTAACGACGATGTCGTAAGCTCTTCAGGCTAACTCGGGTCGTTCTTCCACTACACCAAAGACGTGGCACATAGTGAGGTGCGGCAGCGTCTGGCACTACCGAGCAGCCCTATTTCGGGAGGCACTCCTTCCTCTGCAGTGGGGAGGGGCAAGAAAAGGTGCCTTAAACAAATGCTGGGGAACCCCGCGGCCTGCAGGCTGACCGTGGTCGCAGACGTTAAACTCACGGTTAAGACAAACAAAATCGAAACAACAACAACAATGCTCGCTCTCTTCCTCTTCCTGTCTCTTCTTCTCCCTCCCGCCGCCCGCTCACCCGACTGGCAGGGAGAGTCCGCTGAAGATCTACACGCACGTTGGCTCCCTAGCTTATTGAACACCTGATGGCGCTCTTCCAGGAGACGTGGCATCTAGAAAAAGATTTCAAAGACGCAACCACCGTGCATCTCTATAAACGAAAAGGGAACCGCCAACTCTGCGATAATCACCACTGCATCTCCTTGCTGAACATCGCCTGGAAGGTCTTCGCTCGAATTCTCCTCAACCGCCTGAATAATCTTATGGAAGAGGGCCTTCTATCGGAAAGCCAGTGCGGCTTCCGCCGTCATCGCGGGACCACGGATATGATCTTCGTCGCCCGCCAACTTCAGGAGAAGTGCCAGGAGATGATGACCCAAATGTACTCTACCTTCGTGGATCTGACGAAAGCCCTCGACACAGTGAATCCTGAAGGACTGTTAAAGACCATGTAGAAATTCGGCCGTCTTATATGATTAATTCAGATGATGCGTCAGGTCCACGACTGCATGATGGCGCGCATCACAGAAAACGGCTGTGTATCAGAGGCATCCGCAGTGACCAACGGAGTGAAGCAGCGGTGCGTCCAGGCGCCACACCATCTTCAGTCTTATGCTCTCTGCCATGCTGATGGACGCCTACCGTGTTGAACGCCCGGGATCCGCATCGCCTACAGGACGGACGGCCACCTCCTGAATCAACGGCGGATGCACTTCCAATCGCGCATACCCACAACCACTGTTCACGAACTTCTGCTCGCCGACGACTGAGCTCTGAACACCACCTCCGAAGAGGACATACAACAGAGCATGAACCTCTTCTCCGCGGCCTGCGAGAACTTCGATCTGATCATCAACACGCAGAAGACGGTGGTCATGCATCAAACGCTACCCAACACAGCCCCTCCCACAACGCGCCTTAAATCAGCGTGAACGGAGCCCAACTGCAAGTGGTGGACAACTTCCCGGATCAGGAAAGTACTCTCTCCCGCGGCACGAAAATCGACGACGAGGTAGCCCGCCAGATTTTGAAAGCCAGGCAAGCCTTCGACCGCCTTCAAAGAACAGTTTGGGATCGTCATGATCTCCAATTCAGCACGAGGCTGAAGATGTACAAGGCCGTCGTCCTCCCGACGCTGCTGTACAGAGCGGAGACTTGGACGGTGCACATTAAGCAAGCACGCCGACTCAACCACTCCCACCTCAGTTGTCTTTGCCACATCCTGACGCTGGAGTGGCAGGACCGGATACACGGCACGGACCTTCTGGTGCAAACGGGACGCCTCAGCATCTACACCATGCTGAGACAACTGCAACTGCGTTGGAGCGGTCGTCTCGCTGCGAATTGACGACGAGCCTCTACTCAAACGACTCTTCTATGGAGACGTCGCCACGGGTCCCGCGGCCAAGGAGGCCAAATCTCTAGTGTGTTGGCTGTTCCTGCTGGCCTTGATGCCTGTCTGGTATTATATAGTGCTCGAGCACGAACTGTGACCTGCTCGTTCGCTGCCGATTAACGCTGACCTCTCCATTACTGACCGCCGGCGGGTTCGTGTCACCTTTGATCCCTTTGCGACCGTCGTAATTGTTGGTGAGCCAGCATGCTTTTCGGCCTTCCCCTTGTCAGTCAATGAACTTATCAATTGTTGGGGCTCATGTTAGCTGAGCTCAGTCTCGTGGGCGTCGCGGGGAGGTGGCGTCCCATGCTGGTCGCGTGACCTCCGGCCGGCTTCTCTCCTATTCTCCGCCGGCATCGGTTGTTGGCCACGCGTGACTTTGCTCGACCGTCCTGATGGCCCTGTCCGCACTGACTCAAGCCCTGTGCTCAAGCCGTGGAACGGCCGGTCACCCTTGCCCTCTCACAGGCGAAATTGTGGTTCTCCTGTTGTACTTGGCCATAAACCATTGGCAGTTTGTTCTTGCCGTTGATTGCAAGCTGGTGCTCATGCAATTTTGTGCCAACACGTTTGCCCATTTCGCCAACATACTTCGCATCACAGTCTTGGCATGGTATACTGTAGACAACCGTTAATTGTTCTGTCACTTGTTGCGGGTCTTTGGGCCTCATTATTTACTGTCTGATTGTCGACTCTGGTTTATGAGCCACACCGATCCCGAAAGGCCTTAGGATTCTTGCTGTCGCTTCTGATACTTTTTTCACATAAAGGATTGCGAGCCAAAACTTCGGGTTTTCTCCGTCCGATCGCTCAGGGGGAGGCTTTCTAAGACCCTTGCGTATGAAGGACTTGGTATAACCTTTGACTTTAAATAGGGCGAGCAAATACTTAAGCTTCCCTTCCTCCCATTGTTGTCGCTGCAGTGTGTTTGAACGCGTTGAAAGAGGGTTCTAATACAGCTGCGTTTGTGACCAACGGGGTGGTTGCTCTTGAAGTGGACTATTCGCCTGGTGTTAGTTGCCTTACGGTAGACCGTTGTTCTTATCTTCCCACCTCCCAGCCTTTTCACTTGTACGTCAAGGAAGGCCAAATGATTGTTGCGCTCTTCTCCCAAAGTTAACTGGATGTCAAGAATATTGAATTCAGCAGTGCCTTGACAGTCTGCACACGTCCCTTTTGATGATGGTGAAGGTGTCATTGACGTATCTTGCCCAGAACTTCGGGGAGTACGAGCTGCAGACCAGCCGCTCGAGCCTCTGTAAAACAGCTTCGCGATTAATCCAGACAGAGGCGAGCCCATCGGTATCTTACTTTGCTCGTAGACCTGGCCGTTGAATGTAAAAACGTCCTAAGACACAGTTCTATAAGCTCGATTATGTGAACTCGTTTGAACTCGATCAGCTCCTGAGTCCTTCTAGTACTCCGTATATAGCGATATAGAATTTTCGGATGCTCCAACAAATTTGGCAGTATGTTCAGTGCGAAATTCCTTCGCAGCCTTGAGGCCTCACTTTTACACACTTTTCGTTGCCGCTTATAATCATCCAAGTGTTCTTCGGAGCCAGTTAGTCTGTAAAGACTTCGGTGACGATTTCTTTCTCTGAAAGAGGCTGTAGCGGTAAAGGATGTGAGATCAACTTGAACTACGCACAATAAGTTCGTTTTGCCTTATGACAGAAGTCAGGGAACTGTGAGAACTAGTTTATTCTGTACACAGGGCAGGTTGCCGTAAGTTGGCTGTTTGCTTGCAACAGAGATAAGCGTCCGTTCACGGAGGGCGTCAGTCGCGGTGTGTTGTTTACGCGGGGGGGGGGGAAATTCTGTGTCAGTAGGTGGTGCTGACTGGTTGGATACTGGTCATGAAATTGGACGGATTAGGGGAGGATAAGGGGATGCATAATCACGGGGGCTCACGGGTATCAAGCCAGGTGGTCCGACGCGCATGAGGTGATAATTGTTTGTGGAGGCAGCCGGGGGTCACTGTGGCTGGACAGGAGGGGGGCCCAGTTATAATCGGCGGGGGTGGTTGTGTGTCAGCGGCCTGGCAACGATTGTCGCGGCCATCGACCGACAAAACGGAGCCGGAGAAAAGGGGGACTGGAGCGGCTGCTACTAGGCCTTAAAGTCCGAGTTTATTCATTTTGGGCGGTTCGTAATTGTCTTACTTCTTAGAGAACGATTGGAGCAATCTCTTTCAGTAAGGAACTGAAAGTATTCCAGTTGTCGGTTGCCCGACCATGCAGTGAAAACAGGCGTTGCGTGTCCTTAAGCCAACCGCATTGCCACCGCGAAAGTCAAACGTAAAGCACACAAGTCCCAGCCGCGCCCATCCCGCAATGCCAACGCACAACCGCCTCCAACGTGTCCATGGTGTCAACAGACAATCCGGGTACGGATTGGACTTGTTGGGTACCTTCGGATCAACCGCACCACCCGGACAGCACAAGCCGTCGTCCCTCCGTCCACTTCCTCCTCGTCCTCTTACGCCGTCAACTAACGCTGATCGCCATTCTGAACCACCACTCACATTCTCTTCTTCTTCTTCTTCTTCTTCTTCTTCCTCCTCCTCCTCCTCCTCCTCC